TTTTTTTTAATTGACCAAAAAAATTTTATATTATTTATTATTTCTAATTTTATTATTTATTTTTTTCTAAAAGGGCAAGAATTCATGGCTGGCCAAACACTTATGTGTTTACAAAGGCAATGGGAGAAATGCTGCTGGGGCACACGAGAGGAGACCTTCCCCTTGTTATTATACGCCCAACAATAATAACAAGTATTTATAAAGACCCACTACCAGGTTGGATGGAAGGTGCCAGGTATAAATATATACTCTATTAATTGTTTCAATTAATTTACATACATACCACCTAATTCTTATAAATTTACATATCCGTCCTCTAAACTTTCGTGTTTACATACATAACCCCGAAATCTTTGACATCATGTACATCAATAACTTCTTCCAAGCAGAATGCAAATGAAGATATCAAATATAGTTGTTTCATATGTAAATGCAGAAGAATTGTGTGGTATTTTTGTAAATTTCTATAATGTTTGATCATTTTGTTGTTGATTTTTCAGAACAATTGACAGCATAATAATTGGTTATGCAAAGGGAAATATCTCCTCTTTTCTTGGTGATCCTCAGATGTCTATGGATTTAGTAAGTTCCCTATCTCCAATACATATTTAATAAATAAATGCAAATAATGATGATAAAAGTTTAGGAAAATGATAAAATGTTGTGACATATTGCAATATAGATACCTGGAGACATGGTGGTGAATGCCATGATAGCTTCAATGGCTGCACACACCAATCAGAACTCTCAGTTCATATATCACGTGAGCTCATCTGTAAGAAATCCTGTGAAGTACTCCACACTGCTTGAATCTGGACATCAATATTTTCAGAATAATCCTCGAACCACGAGCGACGGGAAGCCCATGAAGATGACGGCGATGCACGTCATGAAGACCATGACAGATTTCAAACGATACATGTTCCTTCGATATCGGTTGCCATTAGAGGTTGGTCCTGCAATTTTGTTTTTTTTTTTATTTTTGTATTCTTGTGTCAGATTTGTGTCTGTCATATGTTGAAACTGATTGCGGACGTGTTTTGAGTCGCCGTCTATTAATGTAAAATATTTCCTAAAACTCTAATCCCGTGTGATGGAGTCTCGTTCGTGCTTTTCACTGTTAGATTTCTTATGGCTCCGGCTACTCCGACAACGTATCTTCTCCACTGAGGGTCTGGCATGTCAAGAGTGTTTACACCTACGAATTTGCGGCTTAACTAAAAACATCACTAGCATATATGGAATTTTAAAGCAAAATACCTTTTAATACATATGTTTTTGTTGTTGTTATATACATGACACTAGAATGTTATATATGTATGTAAATATTAATGTTTAAATGTTATATATATATATATATATATCTTCATTTATATAAATAGAAATGCCTTTAAAATCTTCATGTATATGTTGTTTCTCTAACACTTTTTGATATATTCTTACTATTTTTTCAGGGATTTCGCTTGCTGAATATAGC